GAAGGAGGCCCCTGCAGAGAGCAGGGTGGGCAGGAGTGGGTGGCCAGGACAGGCAGTACCCAGTGAGGGGTGGTGGGGACCCAGGAGCCACAGAGGAGCTGGCTCAGCCACCCTGTGCAGGAGGCACTTGGGGCCTGTGCTCGGGCCTCACCAGGGCTGCCCCACGCCTATATCCTGCTCATAAGCCCCAGGACCAGGATCCCCACCCAGCTGCTCTGCAGAGAGGACAGGAGGCCAGACAAAAAGATGGACAAACACACACACAGACACACCACACAGAAAAACAGGCGTGGGCACCACTGAGACACACACACGGGCACCACACACTCAGACACAGACACACACAGAAAAATACACATGGACGCCACTGAGACGCGCACACTCAGAGACACGCAGTGCGCTCTGGGAAACAGGACGGTTCCTCCAAACCAGCAAAGGGCCCCGGAAAGCATGGGTGGCCCTGAGTATGGAGGGTCTGAAGCCGCGGGAACTTGCCCATGAGTGACCTTGGCCTGGAGAACTCCCCGGCCTCTTTCCCCACCTGCTGATGAGGACAAATTGCAGGGGCATGAGAGGCTGCTGCTCCCTCACCGCCGGACAGGTGGCCGAGTGGTCTGCAGGCTGGGTCTCCAGGCGGGGACCCTCCTCGCTTCCTCCCCATCCGTGGGGCCTTGGCACAGACCCCATTCTCTGGGGCCTCTGTTCACACCCCACACCTCCCTGCTGTCCTCAACGCCCCTCGGGAAACTTCAGCTCCTCTGGGCCGGCAGGTCTCACCCTCCCTGCTGAGTGGGAGCCCAGACTGAAGCTGGCTGGGGGACATGGAGGAGCCTGTGGGCCAGGGGGACCCAGAAGGGGGCAGAACAGAGCTAGCCATGACCGCTTTCCTTCCTGCCTTCCAGAAGATCATCCAGGCCCTGAAGGCAGAGGAAAGGAATCCCACAGCCCATGGGCCCCTCAGCCTGGGGAGACCCTGCCCTGAGGTCAGCAGGCAGCAGAGAGGCCAGGGAGGACTCTGTGGAGGCCTCTACCCAGCCATGTCGCAGGCAGCACAACCCGGAAGGTCCCAGGAACCAGGGATGCACATTGGAGGTTTGAACAGCGCCTGGACCCATCAGCCTCCCACACAGCGAGGCTTCCTGACTCCTAACCGACTCCACATCATGTGGATAGAAATTCACTGAAATACATGACAACGGCATGCAGGCAGGAAAACATGTGCAATAATACAACAGCTCGATGTTCTCAATACAAAGCTCATAGAATTGACACAAAACACTAATAGAAAAATTGTCAAAGGCCAGAAACCGATGACCCAAGGAACAATATAAATAGCTAAGAAGTGCCAGGCGCGGTGGCTCATACCTGTAATCCCAGCACTTTGGGAAGCCAAGGTGGGTGGATCACGAGGTCAGGAGATTGAGGCCATCCTGGCTAACACGGTGAAACTCCATCTCTACTAAAAATACAAAAAAAAAAAATTAGCTGGGCGTGGTGGCGGGCGCCTGTAGTCCCAGCTACTCAGGAGGCTGAGGCAGGAGAATGGTGTGAACCCGGCAGGCGGAGCTTGCAGTGAGCCGAGATGGCGCCACTGCCCTCCAGCCTGGGTGACACAGCGAGACTCTGTCTCAAAAAAAAAAGAAAGAAATTTAAAATTAAAATTATTAATACACGCCTCCCAGGCAATATAGCAAAGAGAAGTGGGGCATGGTGGCTCACGCCTATAATCCCAACACTTTGGGAAACCGAGGTGGGAGGTCCTTCTGGGGAGAGGAAGACAGGAAGGCACCCAGGCTTCCCAGACACTATTCCAAAATCATTAAACTGTACATCCCAAGCCCAGCACAGTGACGGCCACCTGCAGACCCAGCTCCTCCGGAGGCTGAGGCCAGAGAGTCCTGAGTTTGAGCCTAGCCTGGGCAAAGTAGTGAGATCCGCCATCTCAAAAATAAAATAAAATGCATGGTCCCTCATGAAATGTAAGGATTTGCTATAAAAATTTTGAGAGGCCAGGTGCAGTGGCTCACACCTGTAATCCCAACACTTTGGGAGGCCAAGGTAGGTGGATCATGAGGTCAGGAGATCGAGACCATCCTGGCTAACAAGGTGAAACTCCATCTCTACTAAAAATACAAAACAATTAGCAGGGCGTGGTGGTGGGCATGTGTAATCCCAGCTACTCGGGAGGCTAAGGCAGAGAATTGCTTGAACTCAGGAGGCGGAGCTTGCGGTGAGCTGACATCACACCACTGCACTCCAGCCTGGGCGACAGAGTGAGACACCGTCTCAAAAAAAAAAAAGGCCAGGCATGGTGGCTCAGGCCTGTAATCCCAGTACTTTGGGAGGCCAAGGTGGGTGGATCACAAGGTCGGGAGATGGAGAACATCTTGGCCAACAGGGCGAAACCCCGTCTCTACTAAAAATACAAAAATTAGCTGGGCGTGATGGCGCACGTCTGTATTCCCAGCTACTCAGGAGGCTAAGGCAGGAGAATCACTTGAACCTGGGAGGCAGATGTTGCAGCGAGCCAAGATCACGCCACTGCACTCCAGCCCGGGCGATGAGAGCGAAACTCCGTCCCCAAAAAAAAAAAAAAAGAAAAAAGGAGTACTTTTTATAAATCTGCTTTTGAAATCATTTGGATACTACAGCGACCCTGCTGACCACAACAGCCGAGACTAGTGGGCAAATCACCAGACATTTCTGGGTTTCCTGCAAAGTAGGAAAATCTACTTTGTAAACTGCTCTGAAATTTATGAACTCCGTGTGGATGGTGAACTCAGGCACCAGGCAGATTGCACCCCACTGCGTTAATTTCACTTCTGAGTCTTTTATAATTTTCTTTATTCCTTTTTTTTTTTTTTTTTTGAGACGGAGTCTCGCTCTGTCGCCCAGGCCGGAGTGCAGTGGCGCGATCTCGGCTCACTGCAAGCTCTGCCTCCCGGGTTCACGCCATTCTCCTGCCTCAGCCTCCCGAGTAGCTGGGACTACAGGCGCCGCCACCACGCCCGGCTAGTTTTTTTGTATTTTTTAGTAGAGACGGGGTTTCACCATGTTAGCCAGGATGGTCTCGATCTCCTGACCTTGTGATCCGCCCGCCTCGGCCTCCCAAAGTGCTGGGATTACAGGCGTGAGCCACCGCGCCCGGCCATTTTCCGTATTTTTTGTAAAGACGGGGTTTCACCGTGTTAGCCAGGACCGTCCAGATCTGACCTTGTGATCCGCCGGCCTCGGCTTCCTAAAGTGCTGGGATTACAGGTGTGAGACACCGCGCCCGGCCTTTTTTTTTTTTTTTTTTTTTTTTTTAAGACAAGGTTCTCACTCTGTCGCCCAGGCTGGAGTGTGATCCTAGCTCACTGCAGCCTCGACCTCCCAGGTTCCAGCCATCCTCCCACCTCAGCCTCCCGAGTAGCTGGGACCACAGGCACCATCACCGCGCCCTGACCGGCTCCCGGGGGCGCTCCGCGCCCCTCCTCCTGCCCCACTCCTCTGGGACATCCCCACCAAAGACCCCGCGGGAGGAAACAGTCCCAGTCTCTGGCCCAACCGTGTTGCGGGCCCCACGGGGAAGCCTGGGGAAGGAGGCTGCCATCAGCGGACGCCCTGGCCAGGATCTGAAGCTTTACGAAGGTTCGTACAACGTAAAGAAGAAGAAGTGAAAGTTTAACGAAACGTAAAAGTAGTATTTATTTACTTACGAGATGGAGTCTCGCTCTGTCCCCCAGGCTGGACTGCAATGGCGCGATCTCGGCCCACTGCTACCTCCGCCTCCCGGGTTCAAGGGATTCTCCTGCCTCAGCCTCCGGAGTAGCTGGGACTACAGGCGCGCGCCACGAGGCCCGGGCACTTTTTTTGTATTTTTAGTACTGATGGGAGCGGTTTTACCATGTTGGCCAGGCTGGTCTCGAACTCCTGACCTCAGGCGATCCGCCTGCCTCAGCCTCTCAAAATGCCGGGATTACCGGCGTGAGCCACCTCCCCCGGCCAAAAGTAAACTTTTCTTTATTCTTTTGAGAGGGAGTCTCGCTCTGTCGCCCAGGCTGGAGTGCAGGGGCGCGATCTCGGCTCACTGCAGCCTCCGCCTCCGGGTTCAGGCGATCCTCCTTCCTCAGCCTCCAGGGCCGGGACTACAGGCGCCCGCCACCGCGCCCGGCGAATTTTTGTATTTTCAGTAGAGACGAGGTTTCACCTTGTGATGCGCCCGCCTCGGCCTCCCAAAGGGTTGGGATTACAGGCGTGAGCCACCGTGCCCGGCCCAAAAGTAATCTCTAAAGAGCCCTTTAGCCGCAACTTCATTCCCGAACATTATTTGAGAAAGTAACGCTAGGAAATCGCTCCACGAAGTTCCAGAGCCAGAGTCCTCCGGGCCGCGGGCGCGCCCGCAGGTGTGTCTGCTCCGCACGCCCCCCAGAGCGCGGCGCCAGCCTGATGCGGAGGCCCCGCCCCCGAGCGCGCCACAAGCCAATCAGCGCCCTGAGGCGAGTCCCCACCCCGCGCGGCGGCCCCGCCCCCCCGGCAGTTTCCGTCAGGCTGGGCGGAGCCACTTCCGCCAAGAGGCGCCTTTGTGTCTTCTAAGTTAAGCGTATTCAGTGGATTTCTTATTCCTTGAACCCAAACCTGGGCGGTAAACCCTCTGGGGCTTAGAGAGCGGCCTCCACAGACTGGCCGATCCCGCCCTGAAGTGCCGGCGGTGGAACAGCTCGGGCGGAACCAACGGGCTGCCGCGGGGGTGGGGCCGCTGTTTCCCCCTCCCATGTTCCTGCAGTGGAACGGCCCGGGAGGAACCAACGGGCTGCCGCGGGGGTGGGGCCGCTGTTCCCCCTCCCATGTGCCTGCAGTGGAACGGCCCGGGAAGAACCAACGGGCCGCGGGGGTGTACTGAGCTCACCGTCTTCCCCCTCCCTCTGCCTGCAGTGGAACGGCCCGAGCAGAACTAAACGGGCGGCCGCAGGCAGCACTCAGCGCGCCGTGTGTCTCCCCCCCCCCAGCCGTGCGCCTACAGTGGAACCAACAGGCGGCCGCGGGGAGTAAGCACGCCGTGTCCCCACCGTGTGCCTACAGTGGAACGGCCCGGGCGGAACCAACAGGCGGCCGCGGAAGGCCACTAAAAGCCCCTCTTTCCATCCCCCCATCTGCCTGCAGTGGAACGGCCCGAGCGGAACCAACAGGGAGGGGCGCTGAGCGCGCCGTGTTTTACCCCCCGTCTGCCTGGAGTAGAACGACCCGGGCGGAACCAACGGGCAGCCGCGGGGGCGTTGTGGGCCGCGGCGCGGTTCCCCGCTCCCCGGCTCCGGGGCACTGAGGAGCGGCGCCCGCGGGGCAGCGAGGAGCCCGATGCCGGGTTCTGCGCGTCATTTTCGGCCCCGCGGGCATCCCGTGAAGCCCACCTGGGTCCGCCAGCCCTGTGACACTCCCCAGAGCGGAGCTCCGAGGCCCCTCCGCGGCCTCGCATCCGGCCCCTCCAGCGCGCGCCTCTCAGGCCCCGCCCGCCGGCGTCCCTTTGTTGTGAAGGCGGCGGGGCCTAGACGGGGGCGCCCGAGCGCGGGGGCCAGCGCTATGCCTGCGGCGGAGACTGCATCAGGCTGTTGGTGGGTTCTGCGTGCTGGGTGCTGTGCTCGGTGCTCGGTGCTGGGTGCTGCGAGGTCGGTGCTGGGTGCTGGGTGCCGGTACTGATGCTGAGTGCGCGGGCGCCCGGGGTTCCCCTGCCCGGATTGGCTCCTGGGGGGTCCTTTCCTACGGCGGGCGCTGTGCGCGGAAAACGCTGGTGGCGTTTTGCGAGCTGGCTTTAAGTGTTTTCACGTTCGGAAGTCCACGGAGACCCCCACGCCCTGAAACCCGGGAACGCGGTGTGCGTGGCCGCAAAAAAAAAAAAAAAAAGCAAAAATCTCCCGACAGCCGAGCTCCCGTTCGGTGGCTTTTTAGTTCTTTGTTTGTTTTTTTAACGGAGCGCAACCTACTTTGCTCAGGAAGCCTGCACATCACATTTTCAGGCCACACGAGCCCGTGTTTTAGGAAGGGTCGCTGAGGCAGGAGTAGGAAGGTTTTCCACGCCACTCACGCATTTTCAATGCAGGCAAATCAGAAAACGGAGGGCAGAACGAAAATGAGCGGATCTGGAGTCCAGGCTGCGCTTCGTCCACATCTGTAACAGATGTTTCCTGGTGGAGATGTGTAGGGCGCAGCGGGTCACCTGGGCGGGGGGGCACAGGGCACCCTCCTCGGGGTGCCTTTGGCGTTGGGCACTAGTGTGGTCTCCAGCTTCCGGGTGTTGGAAGGGAGTGTCCCCTGCAGCCTGAGCCTCTGCCAGATGGTTTCCTTGGGAGGAACTCCCAGGGGGAGGTCTGAGTTCCGGGGCATGGTTTGAAGATTTGGGACACGTTTTGCCTGAAATGCCTTTCTGGCTGTTTGAACCCACCTGGACTTCCTGACCAGCGGCACGGATTGTTAACCTCTGGTGCAGGGGCCTGGCTAGGAGAGGTCTGCACAGTTGGACGGGGTGCAAAGTGACACTCTGTCATAATCCGGCGCTCAGATTCCTGTGGTGGGACGAGCAGCTCCTGTGGCTTTATCCCATTTTAAATCCAGGTTTTCTTTTCCTTCTAGTCCTCGGGCTCCTCCCGGGGACCCTTGTCCAGACAGTGGAAGGGAAGGATGTCACTTCTGAGATGAGGTTCAGAAAGGCCAGGGCTCCTGACCTGGTTGCTGTCTCCCCCTCCCTGACGAGCTTGCTGGATGAAAGCTCCTGTCAGGCTGTGGGGTGTCCTGTGGAGAAACTGGCAAGAAACTGGTCTGGGGCCTTTCCACCTATAGCCAGCAAGGAACTGAACCCAGCCAGCATCCAAGTCAGTGAGCTCAGAGGTGGGCCCCAGCCCCAGCTGAGCCTTCGGATGAGGCCACAGCCCTGGTCCACCGTGTGATTACAGTTTCAGGAGGGGCCTTAAGCTAGAGGCGCCTGGCTAAGCTTCCCACAGATTTCTGCACCACAGGAGCCGACATCAAAAGCATTTGTTGTTTTGAGCTGGTAAGCGTGGAGTGACTGTTACAGGGCAGTAGAGAAGGAACATGTACCCTTTGTTCTTTTTATTGGCCTTTTAGAAGTTGTCCTCTGTGAATCGCTTGAACTTGGGAGATGGAGGTTGCAGTGAGCTGAGATGGTGCCACTGCACTCCAGCCTGGGCAACAAGAGCGAAACTCATTCTCCAAAAAAAAATAAATTATCTGTGAAATATGTTTTTTTTCTTTTTTTTTTTTTTTTTTTGAGACAGAGTCTTGCTCTGTTGCCCAGGCTGGAGCAATGGCACAGTCTCAGCTCACTGCAGCCTCCGCCCCCCAGGTTCAAGCGATTCTCCTGCCTCAGCCTCCTGCGTAGCTGGGATTACAGGCGCCCGCCACCACACCTGGCAAACTTTTGTATTTTTAGTAGAGATAGGGTTTCATCATGTTGGCCAGGCTGATCTTGAACTTCTGACCTCAGGTGATCTGCCTGCCTCAGCCTCCCAAAGTGCTGGGATGACAGGCATGAGCCACCATGACCGGCTGACTTTTTTTTTTTTTTTTTTTTTTTTGAGATGGAGTCTCGCTCTGTCGCCCAGGCTGGGGTGCAGTGGCGCAATCTCGGCTCACTGCAAGCTCCGCCTCCCGGGTTTACGCCATTCTCCTGCCTCAGCCTCCCGAGTAGCTGGGACTACAGGCGCCCGCCACCTCGCCCGGCTAGTTTTTTGTATTTTTTAGTAGAGACGGGGTTTCACCGGGTTAGCCAGGATGGTCTCGATCTCCTGACCTCGTGATCCACACGTCTCGGCCTCCCAAAGTGCTGGGATTACAGGCTTGAGCCACCGCGTCCGGCCGACTTTTTTTTTTTTGCGCCTGTTTTTCTAATTGGTTTGTAGGAATTCTGCATACAGTCTGCATATTAATCCTTTGTCATGTTGCAAGTATCTTTTCCCAGGTTGTGGCTGTTCATTTCACTTTGAGGTATGTATATATATGTTTTTTTGTTTTTTTGTTTTGTATTGTTTTGTTTTTTTGAGACAGAGTTTTGCTCTTGTTGCCCAGGCTGGAGTGCAATTGTGCGATCTTGGCTCACCACAACCTCTGTCTCCCCAGTTCAAGTAATTCACCTGCCTCAGCCTCCTGAGCAGCTGGGGTTACAGGCATGCGCCACCACGCCTGGCTAATTTTGTATTTTTAGTAGAGACATGGTTTCTCCATGTTGGTCAGGCTGATCTCAAATTCCCAACCTCAGGTGATCCACCCACCTCAGCCTCCCAGAGTGCTGGGATTACAGGTGTGAGCCACCAGGTCTGGCCTTTTTTTTTTTTTTTTTTCCTTGAGACAGGGTCTCTCCGTGTCGCCCAGGCTGGAGTGCAGTGGCGCGATCTTGGCTCACTGCAACCTCTGCCTCCTGGGTTCAAGCAATTCTCCTGCCTCAGCCTCCTGAGTAGCTGGGATTACAGGTGCACACCACCACACCTGGTTAATTTTTGTATTTTTGTAGAAACAGGGTTTCACCATGTTGGTCAGGCTGGTCTCGAGCTCCTGACCTCAAGTGATCCACCCACCTTGGCCTCCCAAAGTGCTGGGATTACAGGCGTGAGCCACCGCGCCCGGCCCTGACCCTTTTTTTAATGGGTCATGCTTTTGGGGTTTGATTAGAGAAATTATTGTCCTGCCCCAAAAAGGGTCAGGAGGACATTCCCTTATATTTTCCTGACCATAAAGTGTGGTTTTTGTTTTTTTTTTTTTTTGAGACGGAGTCTTGCTTTGTTACCCAGGCTCGAGTGCAGTGGCGTAATCTCAGCTCACTGCAAGCTCCGCCTCCTGGGTTCATGCCATTCTCCTGCCTCAGCCTCCTGAGTAGCTGGGACTACAGGCACCCGCCACCGCGCCCAGCTAATTTTTTTTATTTTTAGTAGAGATGAGGTTTCACCGCGTTAGCCAGGATGGTCTCAATCTCCTGACCTCATGATCCGCCCGCCTCGGCCTCCCAAAGTGCTGGGATTACAGGTGTGAGCCACCGTGCCCGGCCAGCATAAAGTTTTACACATTTAAGTTTCTCATAAGAACAGGCCGCCTGGGTTCAAATCCTGACGCGGCTGCTGTGAAGCCCTGTCTTACCTTTGTGTGTCTCACGTGGTGATAACAGCACCTTCCCCAGAGGGCTATTGTGTGGATTCACCGCTGTGCAGAGGGCCTCGGACCCTCCAGCAGCAGAGTCAGGGCTGCGTCCGTGTTACTCGTTGTCGCCATGTGTCTACTGATATGGGATCAGAATCCAGTTTTTCTTTTCCCCTGGCGTGGACAGCTGCCTGGTATCATAGACTGAATAAGACTTGCTTCTTCAACAATTGGTGGTGCCTCCATTCTGCACACGCCAGACCTGTTTCTTTTTTATTTTTTTTTTTGAGACAGTTTCACTCTGTCACCCAGACTGGGGTGCAGTGGTGCAATCTCAGCTCACTGAAGCCTCCGTCTCCCAGGTTGAAGCGATCCTTGTGCCTCAGCTCAGCCTCCCGAGTAGCTGGGACTGCTGGCACCCGCCACCACGTCCAGCTATTTTTTCTATTTAGTAGGGTTTCGCCATGTTGGCCAGGCTAGTCTCAAACTCCTGCGCCCGGCCAGCATATGCTAGGCCTGTTTCGAGGTCCTTATTCTTTTGAATTTGTTTACTCGCCCAGCCCTGCACCGAGGTCTCAGACTGAACTAGAAGTCCTCCTGTCTTGGGAGGACAGCTGCCGCCCCTCCCCGCCCCGCCGTCTCCTCGCAGGACGTGTTTGTTCTACCCGTCGTGTGTGCATAGTCTCCCTCTGTGATTGACACGTGCCTCATAGGGCTGGATCTATCTTGAGACTACATAGCCTCTTGTTTCTAAGCTTTTTTTTTTGAGACGGAGTCTCGCTCTGTCGCCCAGGCTGGAGTGCAATGGCGCGATCTCCGCTCACTGCAGCCTCCGCCTCCTGGGTTCAAGTGATTCTCCTGGCTCAGCCTCCTGAGTAGCTGGAACTACAGGTGCCCGCCATCACACCTGGCTAATTTTTTTGTAGTAGAGACGGGGTTTCACTGTGTTGGCCAGGATGATCTCGATGTCCTGACCTTGTGATCCGCCACCTCAGCCTCCCAAAGTGCTGGGATTATAGGAGTGAGCCACCGCGCCCGGCCGTTTCTAAGCTTTTACTCAGTAGTTTTAGTGTCTCTTGGTGACTCTGTTGTGATTGTGATTATTGTGATGGTTGCCACATGGTGGCTTCTCATTCCCTCACTCTGATGATCATGGATTGACTTTGTGCTGAAAGAAAGACTTCCCCTCCTTTGCCATTTATTCTTCAGCATGGCCTTGTGGGCTCTTGTTTTACTGGGGGTTCTGATCCTTTACTGTGTTATTTACTCTGCCTTTCAAGCCCCCTGAGCCCTCCCTCAGCCAGCTCTGAGTTCATTCCTGGAACACAAACTTTTGGTGCAGCTAACCTGACAGCTCCTCTGGCATCTTTCCCACCACAGCCCAAGAATCAGTCATTTTTCAAAGAAGCCTGGTTGGCTTTAGTGGAGAATGATATATATTATTTTTGGTTTTGTTCTGTTGTGTTTTTTAGACGGAGTCTTGCTCTTTGCCCAGGCTGGAGTGTGGTGGTGCAGTCTTGGCTCA